GGGGACACTAGTCGAGTTCGTGCATCTTGAATTGAGGTGGCTGAAGCTGAAGAGGTCGTCAGGATCAAAGATCGTCGGGATCAACAAGATCGTCATGGATTCACAGAGATCTCGTTCCCTTGTGTATATAATCGCTGATTCCGAGGTGGCTGTATGTCGAGAAAATACTAACTGGCAATTTACGGAGGGAATGTGTTGTAGAGAAGAACTGTAGACCCCCTCCGTATACTTGATAGACTTAAGAGCATAACCTTGCCAATACTCGATGAGCACTATCACTATTAGCTGCGAGCGCTAGTGTATCAATCGGCGATCTCATTGGCTTGGCGGGTCCGCTAGTGCTTGGCATCGACCCTGAATATGGACTTCCTTCGACTTCCCTCGGCACTTGAAGAGGTGACCCTTGCTTTCTACCTTTCGATCGAAACCCCAGAGACAAGCTCAGTATTACATTTAGAATGTGTTTTATTACAGATAAATTTGATAATTAGCTGGTATGGGAGGAAATATGCCTGTGCCACATTACTTTGAGTGGAATGAACGTGGAGGAAAATCAGTTCTTGTCAGGTATGTAGTGTTGTAACATCAACCACGATAACTGCGTAGGTAAAATATAGAGGAATGGACATAATAATGCATAATTGAGCTTGGCCACTACTTAGGCCTTGGAAACCCATGTCCGATTTCACAAAATTTACAAAGCCTGCAAATGGAATGAGGCAATAAACTAATTTTCAAGTCCAATATTTTTGCTGCTGGAATTGACGAAACATCGAATAACCAACCTGTTGGCCCTTGCATTTCAGAAGGAAGCAGCAACTGGATGTAAGGGTACAATGCTTACAATGCTTGCAGGTACATTGGTGGGAGGTCGAGTAAACACAGGACATTGGTGTACCTCTAATTCTCAACTTTAGGATACTCCGAAGTTCACAACATATCAAGCTTTACGAACTTAACGGCCATCCGTGGATATCATTGATGGCAAGAAGTCACGAGTAGGATGAATAGTAGAATATGCAAAATGGGATATCACAAAAGCAGAAATCTCCCGGTCTATAAGCACCGATGCCGAACGCCTCAACCTATCTAACAGAGTAAACTAGCTTTCCACGTCTCCACTTCTGCAATCATAATTAAACATCTTCCTGGTCGTCAAGTAACAATACCTTCAGCTTCTCCAATTTATCTTCACAGTGCACTTCCATCTGCATCACCACGTCAACAGCATCCTTTCTGGTGATAAGCAGCTGCGATACCAGCCAAAAGTTATACCCATTCTTATAGAACCCCATTGACGCCCATTCGGCACTTGTTATTCTATTACGCAGTGCGATCCAGTAATCACGCCAGCGGGATAGAGCAGTCCGGATAGCAACGAGGATGGAATCTTCAGGAATAGTGGTGTTTTTTGTGCCAACACCGACGCTTTTCCCGCGATTCTTGAAGTGGTCCCTGCGTATAAAAGAACCGAGGAATGTCATGTGGGTGTTAATAAATGAGAATAAAACTAAACAGGGAGTCAGCCAGTGCAAGCAAAAATAAAGCTCTCTGGGACAAGGACATACTATGAATCAAGATAAACATGTCTAAAGCAGTGAGATCTATTGGGTTAGATTCGGGTGCTTCGTCAAACAGATTTTTAAATGCCTCCGAAAGCGTAAAGCCGCGTGAAAAGCGAAAGCTTGTCTCCGCGAACGGGTGTTCGGAGAAGAAAAGCGATTCATCACAGGGCAGATCGCATTCCATTTCAGTGTGCGTTAGGCGACACGGATAGTTTTGAAAGAAGAAAAACGCGCAATCGAGCAGCGAAATCATAGAAATAGTCCTGTCGAAATTAGCAAGGCGGACATAAGAAGATAATACTGGAAGATAAGCACCTAATCCGACACTCCTTTTGGATCCACAAGTGCTCCAGGACCTGGTCATCAGGAAGGTGACGGGATTTGACGAGTCCAATTCGTCGAGCAACCTTCACAACCTCACCGAATCGATTCTCCATCGCACGGTTTCGAGACAAACGGTTCCCCGCCCAGTATTGGACAATGGTGATGATAAACCCGGCCTGAAAATTCTGGAACCATTCCCAATCACTGTTTTCCTCATCGTAGCACCGGCCACCCGAGAACATGGCTCTGATTTCGGTCTCCGCCGAGAATACATCATTCGCAAAGATGAATAGCTCTGCAAGATCCAGTACTCTCTTAGCGATGTATACCTCCCGCTGGTCACTACTGTACATCGCGCCCATAAAGACTACCGCGGCTAAGAGCGGCAGGGGAACTGTCTCCGGGTCGAAGGATATAGGAAGCATTGCACAGCTAGGTTGCCAGTATTTGAAATAGAGCATGATGTATTTTCGTATGCGCGTGGTGGTCAGTAGAAAGTTGAGATTCACAGATAGTTCCTCCTGCGCTTTAGAATCAAGCGGGATCTGCCATGCTTGTGTCAATATTAAATGAATTAATGTCGTCGCGAACGGTCGCTCCGGTTCGAAGATAGGTGGATCTCCGGGAAATGTAGTGGGATGCTGCCCTGGACGGATGGCGGATCGGTAGTTCAGTTCACCAGTATGATAGGAATTTTCCGTGGGCTTCTGTCCATCACCAAAAGGGCCGTGGAAAAAGTCCAGGAATGTATCTTGGAAGAACTGCGGCGCGACAGGGTCGCAATCGATGAATCCAGAGCCGTATTCCGACCGAGCGGTATCGATGTTATATGGAAGCCCTGTGCCCTGCAATTCCTCCAAGCCATTTGTATTATGATAATTGAGACTGCGTGTACGATCACTGTGTGGGGGAAGCCGGAAGTTTTCCGTGAAGCTGTCGGTGCCACCATTAAGTAAGAACTTGATCGATCCTCGGTCGGATGATGGCTCTTCACAGATTTCGGGTTTCTCTGGTATTTCTGTGTGATTTGCATGAGTCTTCCATTATAACCGAGTTTATCAAGACTTGTTGTACCTTCTTCAATCCCTAGGCGGCTCGAGCCAGCCGTCCGCTCGTTGTTGCATATCAAGTTTCTTTTCTGACACGACCCGCAAGGGCTTCGGCCGTCGCATCGCAGTTTCATCGAGGTACACTATTCGAGCAGAATAAAGTTAGTACATATGGTTGGGTTTCATAACATCTAGTTGCGACTAACCGATTGACAGGCATGTCGCCGTCTACCCCTCTGACCCGTCTCTGGAATTTCACGATCCCCGCGCCTGGCGCAGTCGGTATAATGGACGCGCAGGTTATCACTAATTCCAAGTGTTAGATTGCCCAGTTGCCATTATAGATTGTCTCGGCTTGTCTAACCAGCGCGCGAACGAATCATTGCAAAAAACGCAGGAATAGGGTTTCTGGCCGGAGTCTGTTGAGGTTCAGTATGTTGGATAGCTGCAGTACGGGGCATACATACGGCGCAAATGATGGCGTTTGAGGTGATCAATTCGCGTGAACGCACGCTGACAAACGTCACAGCGGAAGTGCTTGTCTGTCGGCTTCATGGTGGACCACCGGGGAGGAGGGGAATATCCGGGGTAAAGAAGAGAGAACGAGGCTGCACGGGAAAGGGTGAGGTATCGGTATTACATTAATGTCTAGAGATAAGAGGTACCCTTTGAGCCTTGATAACGCTAATAGATACTTGACAATATTACCGGTCGAGTATGGTATGGTCAGCTCCCTGATCTTCATAGTAAATAATTCTTATTCTACCTCATGTTAGCATTCTGCTTCAAATCACTCCGTAAATATTCTTATTTGCATGAATAGTTGTGATATATAAGATCATGAAGCCCAAGCCCGTCCAATCGTGCATGAAACCAAAGTATAAGAAGAGATAGGGGTAGATAGGTATTGTTTATCGTATTGACAAATGCCCTCCAAATCATGTACAACATAGGCGCTGTTCAATGATAGCAGTTGCTTTCTGAAGGCATCTTTTTTGATGTCTTTTTGATGTTCTCTTTGATTACTTTCCTATATGGTAACTAGAGCAAAGACAATAGAAACACGACAAGGGCAATCTTGCCATGATCGTATATGATGCTACAAGGGATATAAAATTGAACACCTTGTGTTTGAGAATTCATAATGGGCTAAATAATAAATCATTCTGGAGACTGGAACTAGCTTTGAACGCTAAGAGAAAGCTGCTACGATAGGAAAGGAAGGATCCAAAGAAATATATGGCAACAACATTTACGGTGATTTATTCTAAGACACAAATACGGAGTAGTCGTCCGAGTCTTGGCCTTGATCATATGCGTAGCAGTCTCTCCACCTCACAATAGAACGGCTAGCCCTATTACAGACGGCCTAGATTACCTTGTATCGGATTCAGGAATTGTAGCATGAAATACATTAGATTTGTAGAGTGCTTGGGGTACTCTATGTTCCGTATGATACTTTTGATTTGAGATCCTCAAGTCATGTATATCAAGTTCTCATTCGATCGTATAAGTCATGCCCCTTCATGTTTCAGATTCTTTCATCGGTCAAAGTCAAATTTTAAAAAAAATCTGTCAGGCTCAAGTCTTTGAGGTGCAGAAATATCTTTTAATAGAACAAAGAGGCCTGAGTATCCCGAGGGGTGCGTGACAGCATGCATGCTAGCCTTCTCAGGTTGACTTTCCTCTCCGTTGGCATGGCAGTTCTCAAGACCGTCAATATTTATGAGACGGAAACATTCATATTTGATAGATTATACTGCACTTTCAGTAGTAAAATCACCCTTTACATGTAGGCAGTTGATGTACATACCAACTTACTACCCACTTTGAGCCAGACTCTTCCTATCAAAAGACTGTGGAGTGTGTTCAGCCCAAATAATTCCCAATACATACTACGTACGCATCCCCGTCCGAGACCTGGCTTCGAATTTGAGTTTCTTTGTCCTCTAGCCTAGTCCTTCTCACCCTCGTCCCCGTCATCTTCTCATACTGTAAAAATTCCAAATCACTAGCCTCCACCGTACATATTGTGGTGACAGATCACCAACCCCCCTGTACAATGTTTGTGAGCCAGCTGGCCTGGCCACTGATGCTAGCTTTGGGGACCATGACAGTGGCTGCAGAAGCATCGACGGCAACTTCAACAACCTCCTCCTCGACCGGTGTCGCGACCCATACGATTCAGGTGGGACCTAAGTCAAATCCACATCAATTTGTTCCAACCGACATAACGGCCAACGTGGATGACATTGTCATCTTTGAATTTTACCCAACAAACCATTCTGTCGTAAAAGCAGATTATCTCGCTCCTTGTGTACCAGCAAGCGGAAATGTCTTCTATTCGGGAGCCTTCGTAAATTTCAACGAGAACGATGGACAACTTGTCGGGCCAGTGAGCATAATAAATTCGAATTGCATGTTCAAAGCAGTGTGGCTAATATATACAATGTAGCCTCCGACTTGGTCCTTACGAGTCAATGATACTCAGGTACCGTATCTAGACAAAACATATGCCCATGACCTTGGACGGAGACTAACAATGGCTCCATGTAGCCCACTTTCTTCTATTGCACTGCAATAGATTCATGCATCAAGAATGGAATGGTCGGAGTGATCAACGCGGTATGACTGACTCTTGGTTTCTTCCGAGCATGGATTCAGGCTAACTATCGAACCTACAGAACACAACCCAGTCATGGGAAACACAATACGAAAGAGCCCTGACGTACCCTTATATGCTAGTTCCAGGCCAGTCTATGCCCGCAGAAGGCGACGGTAGCAGTTCTAGCAGCGACAATAGCTCTTCTGGCGGTAAGCATGGGCTTAGCACGGGGGCTATTGCAGGTATTGCCGTTGCCGGTGTGGTCTTCGTGAGCATATTGGTGGCACTGTTCTTCGTTCTAGGCCGCAACCGCGTATACTCGCAGTGGGTATCCTCGGAGGATGGACGCACGGAAAGAACCGCACGCTGGGCACTGTTCAACCACGGCGAGCCATACAACAACGGGAAAAGCGAAGCGGGGAGTAGTGTCCCAACTAACAACCCAGCCCCTGTCGATATAACCGCCGTCTCTAGTCCTGATCCCAATGTGCGCACATTATCACCTGGGGCACGAGTTACCTCCGGTGCCGGTTCCCTATCTATGCAGCAGGGACATTGGAGCTGGAATGAGCCTCCTCCGCGTGTCCGTGCAAGCGCGATGGCCACAGAGCTAGAGGGCCATCCCATTATCTGGGAGGCACCAGACAGTACTCCGGAGTATCGGTGGTGAACAGGTTGAAGCGAGCCTCGTGGAGTCTTGTAATACCCGAGGGTTATGGTGTTGGCGTTCAATTATTTTCCTTTCATACGCAAATGGGTCTGCCTTTCTTATATGTTATATCAATACCTGTGATTTATTGCTTGTAATATGTAATTTCTTTTGAATAAAAGGCGTCATTTACCGTCTTTGTGGATAACGATATTTACCAGAGTCCTATCTACAGTTTACTTAGTGTCTGTGTTTTGTCCGCATGACTCGTCTGCACATGGTCGGCGTGCGATTTCTGCATGAACATCATATGAAGGTCAGATCGTGAGGGTTGTGTCTCAATGTAGTATAGGTTCAGTGGAAGGAATATCGAGATGCGCTAAATAGACGATAATCGTAATAAAACCGACCATAACACAGTTCCCACCGCGTTAAAGGCCTTAGAGCGCGTAACATACGTATCGAGTTCGATCGTAATTACGGTATTATTAGTTAGCCGACTTCCCACGCGTCGAAAATTTATCTCCCAAGTGAATTGCACCTTCATAAACCATCATGTCCACACCATCAAGACGTTCAGCTTTGGGAATCTCGGGGACCCAGAAACAAGCTCTTCGTATTTGGGCACAAGGTCAAAACCCTCGTCCATCACAATCGCAATGTTCTGCTTGGTTCGAACGAACCTATGGACGGAGCCTCTCCCAATCGACCATCTCAACAATCCTCTCCAAAAAGTTCGATCACCTCGATGCTGGTCCGGCATCTACCTTAAGACGTCAATTGGCACCGCAATGGCCTCTCTTAGAGACACCACTTTGTGAGTGGCTTGCGAGCCAAGAAGCGGGCCTAATGCCGCCGGCCGATACTATTATTGCTAAAGCACGCGAAATCTGGAATCAAATTCCGGAATACCAGACCCTGGCACTTCCTCACTTTAGTAATGGGTGGTTGAACAGATTTAAGAAACGATATGCTGCTCAACTTCATGATCACCAAGATGGCGTGCCTCCACCCACACCCCAAAATGGTCGCAAAGAAACGAGAGCATTGAAAACGCTATGTGGTGAATTCCCTGAAGATGATATTTACAACATGGATGAGACCGGCCTTTTCTGGCGAAAGCCTCCATTTGGCGCTTCTCCTGCTCAGGACCAATTGACAACAAACAGGGAAAATTCCCGGATCTGCATTATGCTCTGTACAAACAGCACTGGGTCAGATCGATTACCCCTTTGGGTCATCGGACATACGCCTTTGCCAGAGGCACTTCAAAGGGCGAATCTCAAAGCCATGGACTGCCATTGGCGATATCATCGACAGGCCTGGCTAACGCAATCGATCATGCAAGAATGGCTGCTCTTCTTTTACGACCATATAGGAGAGCGCATAGTTTTGCTTCTACTGGATAATCATCCAGACCACCAAGCAGCCGTCGAGGCTACTCCGCCGCCTCCGAATGTGCATATTCAACTGTTTCCTACTCAAACTCGCACCTCGAATGAGCAACAGCCCATCAACTTGGGAATTTCCCAGACTCTTAAACATTACTATCGCAGGCAATGGCTTGCGTACATTGTGGCTGGTACAGAATTGCCCCAAAACCCAGTCCACATGATGAGTCTTTATCACACTATATCATGGGTCACCCGGAGCTGGCGTCACGATGTCGCGAACGCAATTATTTACAGGGCCTTCCGGAGGAGCAGCCTAATGGACCCGCAGATTGAGTTTATCACTGCCCCAAAATCACCCGATTTGACAACTCTTTACGAGACCGCCACGCGAAACAATCCTGATGGTCGAACGGTTACGAGCCTCGAAAACTTTATTCATCCCGTGGATGAGGATTTCGAGGGTGGATTAAACGTTGCTGGGTTTGTCGTTGAGGGTGAACCTACTCTGCAGGAACTAGATGACGCCATCGTGTCCATCCCGCCGGAGCAACTTGTACCTCCTGCTGTGGATGCAGTCATTGGGATACAGACGGCCATCCGGTACTTGGTACATCAACCTTGGGTCACTGCGACGGACCTTCAGGGTCTCGAGAGAATAGAGAGAATGATCAATCGTCTCGCTATTGAGGAGCGACGACAAGCACACGTTGGTGGTTTCGATTGAAGAAGCGACTAGGGACGGTGACAGTCGTCCTGGCAGTTAGTGCCTTCATCTCGACAATTAATCAACCTGAGCTATGAAGTTGTGGGTTTTTTCTTACTCGGGTGAAAGCTCTCAGAAGAAGGAAAGTTACATCTCATATATGTCCTGTGCGTTATGAACATATTGCAGAGCCTGGTACAGGCCGAGCTCCACACAGTTGACCTTTGTGAGTGCCCGATATCTGTAGTTAATAGCTGGGCTACGTAATGTCAGGCGCATCACCAGAACTGATGTTGGAGAATAATAGCTCACTACCACCGGGCTTACCCAGGGTCTAGTGTACCATCTCATACATTGATATTCTGAACGAAGGACACCTGATTCATCCACCGGACACGACGCTCGAGCCTTATTCGAGAATTAGAAGGAAATATTATCAGCCTGCAGCATTGACTGGCTCGTTTTTTTTTAATTGTTGGAATATATTATGCTGTCTTAAGATATAATAGAGGTCCAAAGCTCCCGTATTAAGACCTAAACCGTCCTTGGGATGCAGAATACCAATCAATTCTTGAGGTTTTTCTATTTTAAGCTCACTCCAATGAATATATGGATATCAGATTTCAAGTTTTCTGAGCCAAAATAGAAGCATACCAACCCCAGATACACTGTTGTGTCTATTTAGCCCTTTGTTTATTCCACGCTTTCTATTTAAAGCAAAGGAGGATCCGTTATGTTGTTGGTTTTGGCTTAGGATCGATCCGTCAATCTCGCGTTCTCGGATCCGTCAGCGCGTTTTGCTGGATTCTCTCAAGTTCACGAGTGTCCAGGAGTTCATAACATCAAAGATGAACAGGGCAACTGGAAATGATCCCCCAGAGTCCCCGTCAATGCAATCAAAGCTCAAATCAGGCATTGCATCCAGTCGTTGAAGGACCTTACGGTAAGTTATCTTTGAAGGAAAGTGTCAAGCAAGGCCGACTGCTGATTTTTGATAGCATTCCATAATGCGAGGCCGCGGCGATGCTACTCATGGGTTCACGATGCTATGGCCCAGAAAGACTGGTTCCGATGTCGATGTCGAGGTCGATGTCACGATCGGTTGCGTGGACGCCGGATCCTACAAACAAATTTCGAAGGCGGCCAAATGTGCGAAAGAAAAGAGGGCCGTAGGGGGGATCAATGAAAATGATAGGTGAATTGTTGGAAGTGGAATGATAGGGCAGCCCGAAGGCGCACAGTGGTGACTAAGAGCTTGCAAAGAGAAATTGAAGACGTGACAGGGACATCGTCGCTGTCTATCATTTTGAAGAGTAACCAAGTGGGAGCCGGACCAACATGGTGCTTTGATACTTTCGGGTTATTCACCTAGAAGGTTGCGACCATTAGAGAAATTCGTCAGTCAATACTCCGTACTCGCCAAGGAAATATGATGTGATAGACATTATCATTTACCTTCCGGTGCCCAATGTACCAGAAAAAGGCCAACAAGAGAAACCTACCTACATGTAGTGAAGTAATTTGGAGTCGGACCTAATAGCTGAGGGTTGATGTTTGGCACGTCGATTGGTCGGGTTCAATCACAGATTGGCGCGCGGCTGCTCACAACACCTAATAGGTTGGGATCGTGTGACGGAGGATGATGTGCAGGAGTATACCAGGGAGGCCAGGGTGTAGATAGAAAACAAGTGTCCAAAACATGAATCGCCGAAGGGAATCGAATTGAACAAGAAAGAAAGTACTATTCAAAATGATATCATATATAAAACAGGCTCCGTAACGGGGAATCGCTTTTGTGTTTCAGATAGGGTCCGAGACCAAAAAAAAAGAAAACCAAAGGAAATATTTTACTCTACAGCATCAGTGATACAGCCCAGGCTGGCGTCCTGGACGTTTCTGGCATATTTACCCAGAGTACCACGCATGGTAAGACCGGTCTCAGGGAGGTTTCCAGCAGCCTTGCGGGCTTCCCACTTCTCTTTGCGGTCAGCAAACTCAGCATCGGAGAGTTCAACATCAAGAAGGCGCTTGTTGGCATCGATGGTAATGATGTCGCCATCATTTACAAGACCGATGGGACCACCGACGGCAGCCTCGGGGACAATGTGACCGATCAAGAAACCGTGAGAACCACCGGAGAAACGACCGTCAGTGATGAGAGCACAGGAGTTTCCAAGACCGTAGCCCATGAGGGCACTAGAGGGCTTGAGCATTTCTATAAGAATGTTAGCATTATAGTCAGAGATCAGGTAGATTTGTTGCACATACCAGGCATTCCAGGGCCACCCTTAGGACCGCAGTAGCGAATGACAACAACGGTCTTCTCCTCCTTCTTGATTTCCCCACGCTCCAGAGCGGCGATGAAGTCATCCTCACTATCGAACACCCGGGCCTTTCCTGTGAAGGACATGCCCTCCTTGCCGGTGATCTTGCCGACACTGCCACCGGGGGCGAGAGAGCCACGGAGAATCTGAATGTGACCGGTCTTCTTGATAGGGTTGGAGAACGGGCGGATGATCTTCTGGTCCTCGGGGAAGCCAGGGAGCTTCTCCAGGTTCTGGGCCATGGTCTCACCAGTAACGGTCATACCAGAGCCATCAATAAGACCCTCCTTGAGGAGCAGCTTCAGGAGTGCTGGGGTACCACCAACGGCGAAGAGATCGGCCATGACGTACTTGCCAGAGGGCTTGAGATCAGCCAGGAAGGGAATGCGGTCGGACACAGTCTGGAAGTCATCAATGGTGAGCTTGATGCCGACCGAGTCAGCAATGGCAATCAAGTGCAGCACAGCGTTGGTAGATCCACCCGTGATGTTGACAACAACCATGGCGTTCTCAAAGGCCTGACGGGTAAGAATATCGCGAGGGCGAATGTCCTCGGCGAGCAGCTTCTTGATGGCACCACCAGCGGCGAGACACTCAAGATACTTGGCCTGGGAGTTGGCCGGGTTGGAGGATGAACCAGGAAGGGTCATACCCATGGTCTCAATAGCGGAAGCCATGGTGTTGGCAGTGTACATACCACCACAAGCTCCCTCGCCGGGGCAGGCGTGGCGAATGACATCAAAGCGCTGGGGCTCGGTGATCTCCTTGGTAAGGAACTGACCGTAGGCCTGGAAAGCAGACACAATATCGATGTCGGCGTTGTTCTGGGTAGCAGCGCAGCCGGGCTTGATGGATCCACCGTAAACCATCAAACTGGGGCGGTTGATACGGCCCATAGCCATCAGAACACCGGGCATGTTCTTGTCACATCCGGGAATACTGATATTGGCATCGTACCACTGTCCACCCATCACGGTCTCGACGGAATCGGCAATAAGGTCACGACTCTGCAGAGAGTAACGCATTCCAGTGGTACCCATACTGATTGCATCACTGACACCGACAGTGTTGAATTGGAAACCAATCAAGTCCTGATCCTGGACACCCTGGCGAACCTTGTTGCTCAGATCGAGCAAATGCATGTTGCAAGGGTTGCCGTTGAACCACACTGACGAAATTCCGATCTGGGCCTTGTTCATGTCCTCCTCCTTCAAACCGACTGCGTATAGCATTGCCTGGGAAGCACCCTGTGCCTTGGGTTGGGTGATAATGCTGGAGACCTTGTTGAGGGGTTTATCATTCTGGAAGCGAGGGAGAGTGGTTGAGAGGGACCGACTGAGAAGAGAAAAGAAGTCAGCAACCGGAGAAGCAATTGACGCAATTGAACCAACTTACACAGGGTTAGACCTGGACAGGCTCCGAAGAGCGGCGGGCACACGGGCCCGAGTCTGAGGAAGCATGACGAGGATGGATGAGAGTATCCAAAAACCACCAGACAGAGCGATACAATCAGAAGTCTGGAGAAGAGAGGGGGACAAGAAATAAAAAGCGGAAGCTCAAGGGAGTGGGTCAATCGGTCCGACAATCAAACCGGAGAGAGGCGAAACCTCCCCGCCAATTGGATACGCGTCGTTGTCAGCCCGTTACTAGGGGAATGCGCACATCAATTGATATTTATTCGCTATTGATGAACGAGGGAATGAAAGAACAAAACAATTAAAGAAGAAGCGACAGGAATGGGGAGGGCAGAAAATGGAGAAAGGAAGAGAAGATGAAGGTTTAAGACATATAGGCGGCGTCGACAGTGTGGTGAGAGTACTACTATCAGATAGAAAACCTCATCAATAATCGCCAAAATATGTCCAGATTCTATTCTCATTTACTGTGCGAAGAGTGCCTAGTAGCTTCTAGGTAAACCGAGTACCTTCTCGCTCACATAATTCAAGATCATCTCCCGACTCACAGGTGCGATACGAGGCACGAAACATTCGCGCATATATCGTTCGACATCGTACTCAACCGCATATCCCATACCACCATGCGCCAGAACTGCCCGCTCACACGCCGTGAAAGCAGCCTCTGCAGCCAAATACTTGGCACTGTTACACGCGACACCAATTTCATGGAAAGGCACTGATCCATCGTTGGTATCATAGAGACGTGCTGCGTGGTAGGTAGCCAGCTTTGCCGCCTCCAGTTTCATGAAAGCATCAGCCAATGGATGCGCCACACCCTGGTTCTGACCAATTGGCCGTCCAAAGACAACACGGTCCTTAGCGTACTCCGAGGCTTTTTCCAGGGCGGCATAGCCAAGACCAAGTGCTTCACCGGCCAAAAGGCATCTCTCTGCATTCATGCCGTGGAGGATAATCTTGAAGCCTTGGTTCTCCTCGCCAATTAATGTGTTTGCAGGAATCTTATAATTATCAAAGAAGACCTCGTTGGCATCCACAGCGCGTCCACCCATCTTCTTGATCTTGCGCAGATCCAAGCCAGGGCTATCACGGTCTAGATCGATACAAAATAAGGAGAGACCCTCGCTGGTCTTCTTAACTTCTTCAAGAGGCGTAGTTCGGGCGAGAAGGATCATCTTTGAAGCCACTTGCGCACAGGTAATCCAGATCTTCTGGCCAGTGACCGAATATCCGTCAGCGGTTTTGCTAGCCAAGGTCGTGAGTTTGAGGGTCTCAAGGCCAGTGTTTGGCTCGGTGACACCAAAGCATGTGCGCCAAGTGCCGTTGATAATATTTGGGATGGTTGTCTCTAGTTGTTCCTTGGTGCCAAACTTGGCCAATGGCTGTGTCGCATAGACGTTGGCGTGAATAGCCTGAGCACCAGCCATACCTGCGCCAGACTGTGTGATAGTCTGCATCATCATTGTGGCCTCGGAGATACCTGAACAAGGTCAGAAATCTGGATGAGAATAAGAAATCTGCGCAACTGTACCTAGACCAGCGCCTCCGAGGGATTCGGGCAAAGCAATGCCAAGCCATCCATCTTTAGCCAATGCTGCATGGAATTCCTTTGGATCTTTTTCTTGTTGATCACGCTCCTGCCAATATGTATTTGGGAATTTGGAACAAATATGGGAGATCGCCTCGCGGACTGTAAGCTGCTCTTCCGTGAAGCCAGTCATCCCCATAATATCGCGCCGCCCTGAAGTGGAAAATGCCGCGCGACCTTGGGGGGATATGCCTGTTCGACATGGTCCTTGCAAAAGTGCAGGCACTTGCGACCGCAGCGCGCGTTGAATTTGTAGATACATTTTACGTTGAACCTTGGGAGGAGCTTCTCGGCTCAAAATATACCCCGTTCGCATATAGCCGACTAGCAGTCTTGGCGTTCTCGGCTTCTGTTGAAAGTCGAAGGGGTTTCTTTTGCACATATTCGTGTCCTATTGACATGTTGCTCATCAAACATGGCCAAAATTCAAGTAGCCGAGCCGAATTACTCGAAAAGACAGCTGCATAGAAGACCAGCGAAACTACCATTGGGCGACAGGCTGGACTGAAGTCTCATCTGCGAAAGCTACTCCGTACATGATCAGCGAAATGCTCAAGGAAAAATGAATATCCTCAACAACACTTGAGAATACGATGAAATCTTCAGAACTTAAATATATTCGTGTCTTGAAAGAAGTTAAGCACAGTAGCATTCATCGTTCAGCCACGTCCTGTTCAGCCACTCTATCGCTTGCATCCGGACTCTGCTCTTTCTTCCCCAACAATTCGAACTTTCGAACGACTTGAAGGGTAGCATAATAACTGAACGGTAAAGCTATGAACCACAGACCGAGATTGATACTCGCCGTTGCGATCAACGCTGTCGGTACAGCCTGCACGCCAAATCCGACTGCAACGGCAGCAGTTTCGATCCCCCGAAGCAATGAGCTGTATCGAATTTGATCACCTGGTGAGTCCGACAAATTTCCGATACACCAGTAAATATAGTTCTCAACCAAGCCGAGACTGATGCGCTCAAACAGATACAGGCCAAACCCACGACCGAAGGTGCGTTGATCACCCCAGTCCAACACCGGATGGGTGTGTCGGTATTCGTTCTGGATAATAACCGCCCAGATCCATGTCGCAGTGTTCATGAGTGCAATAACGATGAACGTGACAATCGCTCTATGCTTCCGATTTTTCAACCAAGGCAGGTCCACCAACGAGCCACCTAACCAAGTCGCCATCGTTCCCACAACCGCCGACATGAAGCCTCCGAGCGCGCGCGCGCGGACTGTGAAATAAGTCGCGAGATATGTGCCAGGGTATGCTTGGATCCACCCGAAATACCAGAATAACGGGACAAGGAGCAAGATCGACTTACTCCTTGCCAGCCGCCACATCGCACTGAGCTCTTCACGCCAGTGGATGCCACGGGGGGCCTCGATACGCGTTCCATCATCTCTTTGCACTTTCTCAGGATTTGACAAGAGAGGGCCAATGACCAGTCCAAGACACTGGATGGCGATAAAAGCGAGATACGTCTGGTACCCAACCTGGCCGCGTTTATCGACGGTGTGGTTTATGCCTAAAGAGACCGCACCACCAATGATGTTGCCGAAATTGCGGAACGTGAACCATGTTGCAATGTAGCGACCACGCTTGTGATGCTCAGGGTATCCTGTGGCGACAGCACCCTCAACACTCCAAAAGAAACCCGCGCTGATGCCGCAAGTGACACAGCCGAGATACACAAGCCATGTTGCGCCAGTGCGATTGTTCAAATACAATCCCGCTGCGTACAATGGATATCCAAGTGACCCCAGAGTCAGGGTCCAGCGAAAGCCGATTGCGTTTGTGATGAATGGACCCGCGAAACAGGTCAATGTCATGAAGGCGAATAGTAAGGCGTTGGCCGCGTTGACCAGGTCTGGGCTCTGGGATCCGCCCACGCCCAAACCATTCATTGCAGTCCATATACCTGGCGCGCAGAATGCACATAATCCTACGACCAGGATTTGAAAAAGTGTACTGTAAAAGAATCTGGGACGAGGTGGTGGGTGTTCATCTTGACTTTCCACGGTCGTTGACACATTGGCTTTGTCTTCGGAATGTACTGATGTTGACATGATTATAGACTGGGGTTGCAGCTGAGTAAATCACTGCAAATATGATCCCTGTCATACATAGGGCCTAGTAAATCCATTTTATATGACAGACTCCTAGTATAGCCCGTTTATTGGCACGATGCCCAGACAAGCACGCGAAATTATAGGCGCATGGCATAATCACAATCCCGCTCGGCAATTGACGATGAGGACATAAGAGCTTGAAAGGTGTCTTCTATCACGAATCATGTCAAGGCTACCCCATAATATTCCGCTATCTTGGCAGTTGTGAGGGGTCGGGCTCTCAACTACAAATGCATGGCATGCGCTTGGCTTGGTAGCTCAATCTACGATATTATTTTTACGTTTGCAAAAAAATGGCCACAACTACAGAAGAACTGCAGATTGAGAAACTTCAGTTGGAGGAGTCTATCGTCACATTCGAGTCCTTCGACCTCCCAGCTTCCAACCAACGTATCCTCGGACAACCGCATCCCAAGAACACAGTTATCCCGCTTGCGCTGCGACCTGCCAAGTCCGACGCCAAGGCAACTCTCGACAATGTGATAGAGACAGTCAAGACTCTCCAAGAAAAAGACGGCATATTGACCAAGAAGCTCGCAAGGCATGGCACGCTGCTGTTTCGCAATCTACCAATCCACAACGCAGAAGACTTCAGCAAATTCGCGCACGCCTTCGGCTATAAGCCCCATGAGATTATTGGCATCGTAGTCGACAGACCACTTCTTGCGCCAAATGTTGCGCCTGCCAATGAAGCGCCCAAGGAGGTCCTGATATACAACCACAACGAATCGCCGCAAGTCCCACATGCGCCCGAGTATATCTTTTTCTACGGACATCATGCGCCGTCGAAAGGCGGGGAATCACCGATATCTTCTTCGTTGGAATTATTCAATCGCGCACAGCAAGAGATCCCCGAATTCATCGCTGAACTGGCGGAGAAGGGAATTCTAAGTAAAGTGACATACCGAGTGGAGAAGCAGTACGAAGGTGGATCCACACTGAAGCAGGCCTTTGGCAAGGAAGTCCAAGATCATGACGACGAAGAGACAAAACGACGCAAAATCGAGGCTCAGATCGTACGCTACGGCAGAGGGCAGCATACTACGTGGGACTGGACTGATGATGGTCTTATCTTGACGCATCGGCTACCTGTCATCCGAACGCAGCCCGGTACAAACCTGCCAACTCTCTTTACTGGGTTGGCAGCATATTGGAAACGTACACAGTTCGATGCCGAGGCGCGGAAAAACGTCACACAGCAGCTCTTTGGAGATGGGACACCTATTCCTGAAAAATATCTTGCACATCTGGCGAAGATCACGGATGAGATTCGGGTTCTCCATCGCTGGCAGGAAGGTGATGTTTTGGTTTATGATAACGTCATTGCACAACATGGTAGAGAACCGTGGCAAGGCGAGCAGTCTGATCGAGTGATCATGGCCAGTTTATTCGATGGTGAAAGCGTGCCGGGCGCTTATGGATTTGGGGATTGGGCGCAGGTTGTGCAAGCACTTGATTGAAACCCATTTTTTTTTTATGACAACACATAGTTCTGCTATAGTAAGATATAGCTTACGGGGGACTAAGTATACCACCGGGCATAACCCTCTTATTGCCAGGTAGTATTTAGATTAGTTAAGTACGGAGTAGTCATGTTGAAAATTGTATCAAGTTACCGGTCATATACTATATACCATAAGTGAATTTGAATCGCTTACAAGTGGTAACTCTATGTTGGTTATAGTTAAGTACCAATTCAAATCCATAGGTTTTAATAAATTCGACACCCTTATTTAAACTAGCTAGTAAACCATCAATTTTAGTATTTAGAATGAATAGGCCTGAGAGGGGTTCTTGGAACCATGCTTGATTTTGAAAAAGCATTGGTTAGGTTAGAAACGCGGTCGCAAACTTGGTAAAAAAACAAAAAGATACTTAGGAAAACGCGCATGAGGGGCTAACTGTGACGGAGACTTTGGCGGTAGAACTGTAACTACTAGAGGTTATACAAAGCCACAACCAACTGATCTGCACGTCTTCCGTAGACCCGGTGGACCTCGCTCAAACTGGGAAGAGGGTTTTCCGAGTTCTTCTCCCTCAGGAAATCCAAGACTCCTGGTGTTTCAATCCAGCAAAAACGCTGGCCTCGCTGTGTGATCCAGATGGCGGCCTCGAGTGGACTCCCGAATTCTGGTCTAGCACCATTGTGCGATCTGTTCACGACAGCCTCAATGGCATCCTCTGGTCTATCTACCAAAGTTCGCCACCAGAAGAAGTTCGTCTGATGAATTTTTTTGTATAGGGTGTCGATTTGGGCATCCAGTCTTGCGATTTCGGCAGACAGATCGGGGCTGCTCATAATACGCCGATTGGCCTTGATTGCCGAGCTTCGGGGGATATTTACTAGGATTTGGTCCAGTACCTCCTGGGGGACCTTCGGCCCAACAGCTTGTCGGGCTTGATGTAGATCTTTGAGATCGAGCAGAATCTTGATTTTCAACAGAGTCAAAGAGAGAAGGAAGGTGATGGTGTCTGTCAAATCCATAAACCTAGCCTCTATGTCCAGAAAGTAATCAACATCCTCAAGAATATCGGGGCTCTCAATGGGTGTTGGTGCTATTTGCCCAAGAGGGTGGTCTTCAGATTCCTCCCAGAGATACCAGGATTTAATGAATCCATAAACCTCCTCATCCTCATCGAGTCGAATCCAGAGAGCTGAAACCATACCAGCCGCGTAGTAGTTATCGGGATAGTAGAGCAGCGTCAGCTTTGACAGGGCAACCGATGCTCTGATAGAACTCTTAGTGTAAGCATACTCCATGCACTCCTGCAGATTATAAACCGCCATGAAGTATTTGTTCTTATCAGGTGCGAATTGGCTGTCTGTCAACAGGAGGGGCACATTGGGGAGCGAGGAATCGTGAGGGTGAGGTCCCCAGCCGAGCCTCGATGGCTTTTACTGTCGCTTGAGTCTGTCGAACATAGTTACAGAACTCTTTGTGCTCTTTTCGGTGTTCGATCTGGTGATCTTTACTGCAATAAGATAGCACCCTACAGGCAGTGCAGATTTTCAGGTCCTGTTCTTTATCGCAGATCGCACATCCCGAAGGTAAAGACGTCTTTGGTTGAACGGCGTGGAACAGGAATTTCGGCTGTTGGACTGTGATCGGAGCTTGCATCGTGTGTACTCGAAGAATCTCTCGGTTGACAGCCCTGACGGAAGGGAAAGGGGAAATGGATCAATAACAAAAGCGGTGGAGGGCTAGTGTGACAGCAGGATATTGAACTAGTTACCGCCTTCAGAGTTTGTAATACCGCTCGCTCTCCATCATTTTTGATTGGCGAATAATTGACAGGCAGAATTTGGACTAAAACTGGAGTCTGGCAGAATAAATTGACGCCTGAGTTATAAGGCCTCAATCAGGCAGAATCAGGCGGAATCGGGCAGAATCAGGCAGCCCTATATCCAATCCAACCAAACAGTAATTCCCTCCAGCACATCCCGGTACTTCATGTAATAAGCCTGGCCCAACATATGAAGCTTCCGCCGATCGGTCTTTTTTGATCTGGTACGTGGGACTCTATCAATTAGGATATACAACCCAGGAACATAGTACTTCGGCAAGGTCTGGCGGACCGCGTCGCTGAGCGATTGGGTGAGCGCATGCACAGCGTGTCTCTCGCTGATCGGACGGAACTCCATCTCTTCAGCTGGACCGCTTTCCATGTTCATGGGGTTATTTGTCAAGTATAAGAATACGGCAAGAATGGGATCGCCCTGGCCGTCAATAGCTCCAAGAACGTCGACGACAGCAAAATCACCGGTGGATAAGTTCCGCCGGAGGACGTACTCCACTTGGCCAGCTTCGACCCGCGCTCCGTCGAGCTTGAGCATACTATCTTTCCGGCCCATTAGCTCGATCGTCCCATCATGGTTGTACCGCCCTAGATCCCCAGAGCGATATAGGCGGTGGTTTGGCCTTTCGGGGTGGAGCTGGGCCATCCAGACTGGAGGCGTGGAGAGGAAGTTCTCCGATTTTCCAGACACGTGGTCTAGATATCCCCTAGAGAGATGAGGACCCTCGATGAGGAGCTCGCCCACGGCTCCGACGGGCATCAGCTGGTCAGGATTATCGGGATTGACGATCCAAATTGTACCGGTAGCAGGGCGACCGACCACTGACCCACGACCCATCTGAAGATTGCGGTTATAGGCGCAGAGGGAGGCTACCTCGCCCATACCATATTGATTCACTACCTGTACGCGGCCCAGCCATTTTGCCAGTACCGCGTCTGACACTGGCTCGCCGCCAATACACATCATCTCCAGGGTGGGGACGCGGTCTGGTTCCATATCGATGGCAACTGAGGGTGTTATGAACATTATGTTCCCCTCCAGGTCGTTCATGTCATTCATGAGGGATTCCATCGTCAGAGATTTAGTGGGAACACAGCAGCATCCACCGGCAATGAGAGGCGCTAAAAAGTCGTTGTTGCTGATATCAAACGTGTATGAATCGAATTGGAACATCCGGCTATGTGGCCCCATGTCCATGACTCGGATGTAATCCGTTAATGCCGAAGCATAGCTACGGTGCTCCTGAATGATTCCCTTTGGGCTTCCTGTGCTGCCAGATGTGAAGAGTACAACGCAAGGGTCGGTGGGCGTGACGGTCGAACAAAGGACTGATGTCACCAGTGGCAAACTGGAAACGGAAGCATCGCTGACCTCGAAGAGGGTTTCAATCCGGTCGGCAAATCTTCCCTTATATCCTTCTGAGGTGAGCATGATCTTTATCTGGGTGCGCTCGAGAACAGAGGAAAGGTATGGTGGTGGGTCACTGCCATCAACGCAGATGTACGCACCACCAGCCATGAGAACAGCCAGTCTAGCCACAATGGCCCAGGTGGATTTGTAGAAGGCACAAGCGACATAGATATTTGGTCCAACGCCTTGTCCCACTAGCCAATGTGCTAACCGAGAAGTTAATTCCTCAAGTCGGCGATATGTCAGATCCCCATCCCAGGAGCGAACGGCGGGAGCATCAGGGGTTGTCTTTGCGTGCTGTAAACAAAGATCATGTAGGAGGGAATCATGCGTAGGGCCGATAGCTCCAGTGAATAGGGTAATCTGTTCACGATCTTGTGGCGAGCATAATTCAAGGCTACCGATGGTTTGTGTAGAAGAGCCATCAATTGACGAGAGAGCCTGGTTGAAGCTGTGCAAGAGGCTTGTGGCCATTGGCAGTCCAATATCAGTGTTTCCAACATCCAATCGGGCATGTAACATATCGTCGGAGGTATGGCGTACGGAAAGCTGGAGACCGGGGAACGAGTCTACCTCCGTTGACTCTCTCGCCGGTGCGCCGCAACAGACCTGGAATCCGTCCACGCATTGACTAGACAGGGTGCGCTCCGCCGGTTGCTTCTGGTAGAAGATTGTCACATTGAAGCCGGAATTCTCGCCAACTTGGCCTGTATGGACTTTCTCCGTGACCCCCATATGGGATAATGGGACTAATGCTTCAATGCTCTCGCGGAACATATCTCCCACGGTATCATGAGGATCTACGTGGATCTGGACGGTCGGCTTCGAGTAGCCATGAGCCGCCTCACCTATGTAGCATTGACCCTTTGGATAGTCCTGACCAATGTATAGGGTTGTCGAGCAGCAAAATGCTCTGATTGTAGTGATCCAGGCCAATTGGAGTAGTCGCTGGATATGAATATCCGGATGTTCTTCCTGGGCGTCTAGGGGAGGGAGGTTGAGGGCATCGGCGAGGTGCAGGAGTCGCCAAGGACGTGCCTTTAGGGTGAGGTTGACCCTACCGGTGGAAACATCATTGACTGCTACCTTCAATGGAGGAGTACTGGGCTGGGAAACAATTGTGGGTTCAAACAGGACAGGAGCCATGATGAAGATGAACTGTAGCAAGTGTGGAGAAACAAATCATTACATTCGAGTATTAGGGAAACTCTGGCCTAAATGTACGGCCTGGACAGGGACGAGGCATGCAGGAGATGTCTCATTGTGAACATGCTCTCTTGGCACTACTCCCTTTGTTGAACGAAGTGGGCAATCAATAAGACCTCGTTATTGACGCCACAGGCATTTACTGCGCGAATCATAGCCATCGGCATGTTTGGAGTATGTAAGATGTACTCCCAGGGTGATCAATTCGTACTCACGGAGTGTTTGCTCTAATGTGAAAGTTGTATTTGGATATGGGCTGCCTGAGCGAGCTAGCAGAACGGGCAATTCGAGCCGGGGTTTTTGTGGCACTCTGCGAATAAAAATCCAAATGGTAAGGGTCAAAAGAGACAAACCTAGTCTGGCCAATCGACTTCGAAGATCACCGTTGATCTGCAGTGTATCCTGACGCTCAGTCAACCCTGGAGTAGGGAGTAGTACGAGGAGTCAGCTGCACATAGAGTCAATGTACTCTGTACTCCGTAAGATATTAAGAGGGAATTGAGTTAGCAGATCTAGGCTTGTCTCATGAATTATATTTAATTCATCAAATCAAAATTCCAACTAGAATATGAGGACCTGTGAAAAGGAGGCCGAAAATGACCACCCGTGACTTTGGAGGGCGAGCGGGCGCTTCACCGCTCACTGTCGAGTACTGGCGCCGGTCCACGCCCAAAATGGCTCCCTTTTGCAGTCCCAGGACTAAGTGAAATTCCACTAATAGTAAAAGATCTCACCAAGGAGTAAAATATTCTCTCCAATATTCTCCAGTATCAGCCTCCTTGAACTTGTCAATACCACCGACAACGCCGTCTTGGTCCACTTGCCAATCACCCATTTCCACCCGTTCAGCCCAGCTTTCTAAAACCTTGTGTAGATATGAGCTACGCAAATCCCAAGGTAAATAACCACTATAGCTACTGAAAAGGTCCTCCTGGTAAAGTTGATCAGGCCGTTCGGTTCCCGGAAACCTAGCACGTTTGAATGGAACACCATTGCTACCTCGAGCAAACCCATTGCTGCCGATCAAATTTTAGACGAGATCGAAGCGACATCCCGTCCAGCCCCAATCCATGCATGTTTAAGAATCTGGTTGTGAAGTTGGGCCGATAAATGGGGGTCAAATGTAGTGAATGACATGGCTGAGATGTAGGTCTTTCTGGACCTCGGGGTTTCCGGTGGGAGATGTGGAAAGAGAGGAGCGGTATCAGCCTGACAGGATTGGTTCGTACCCTTTACATTTTGCCATCTGGCGAAGATAGGTAGGGGCCAGGGTTACTTTCATAGCGAAAATTGTTGTTATATTCAGGGCATTGAAGGAAGGTTATGTGTCAGAATCTAGGATGAATACTGTTATTTTTCATTCCTGATACAGTTGGGTCACGTGACTGACCAGGATGGTTTTTCACCCGAAAAACATCCTTTCATTTTGTTTTGTTTGTTTTGATTACTAAGTTGTCCACAAGATTGTCATGTTTTAGGACTATTGTCATTTTTAGAGAGTTAGAGATTTTATTGAGATTTTTCTGCCACATATACATTCGCCTTACCACCGTTTTTCCGTCATTATGTGCAGCGTATTTGGGCACTAAACCGAAAGAGGCAAAACTAACCGGATACAGTAATTCACAAGTCCGCCGTTTACATGAAAGAATTTACAAGTCCCAACCAATCAGACATTCTGCATAACCCCAGGGTGAACGCCCTCAAGGATCGACGACAGCTCAGCCCATAGTTTCTCACGGGCTTGACGCCCCTCTTCACTGCGCACAAAAGGTGAAAGCGCAGTATTCTCGACATGTCCATCTGTCATATATGAACCGTGGCTTTCGAGTCCAGCTGCACCGCCCGCCACCAGCGTTCGAGATCCAACCTCCGTGGATCGCGCCAATACCATTTTCATCAATTTGAACTTGAAGCCAGCTTCCCGTCCGAGTTGTGAATGGCATAAACCAGGGTTGATCATGTTGATCACCACCTCTGATCCCCGCACACGGCCCGCCAGTTCCTGCACAAGTAGCACCTCGAGTAGCTTCGATAATGAGTACCGCTCGTCCATCTTGGCTTTTGCTTGGTCACTGACGAACTTCATTGGCTGATCTTCCTTCCATTCCGGGAAATCCGCCCATCCGTGTACTTCACTCACAACGAAGGCAAGTCGGGGCGTGCGGGATGGATTCTTTGTTCGTGTGGCTTTCAGGGTTGGCAGGAGGAGGAGGCCGAGGAATAGAGTGTTGATGACATTGACAGTGAGAGTTTGCTCATACCCTTCGGCAGTGCTAAATTGCGCTGTGGCAATTGCTGCATTGAGAATGGCTACATCGAGCTGGGGGAGCTTTGAAATGCGCTCGCCAAAAGCAAGGACCGAGGCGTGGGAAACCAGATCGACCTCCCACACTTCACAGACGCCTGGGCGGCCTGTAGATCTTTCAATGTCATCTTTTGCTTCTTTTCCTGCAGTCACATTTCGAACGCCAAGGATCACCCGTGCTGCACCTAGTCGCGTGATGTGACGTGCAGCTTCTAGCCCTAAGCCGACATTGGCGCCGGTGATGAGCACCGTTTGGTCGGCGAAAGACTGTGTTGGATATGTAGGAGTAACGAAGAATTGTGAGTAAAGGAAACCCATGATGAGTGGATATTTCGATTGAAGATTCTTCAACGATGAAAAAAGGTACTTAAATAGCAGTGGGCTAAATAGGCAACGAATGGCCAACGTCATGGAGGGCTTGCGGCGATCCGGAGATGACCGGGGTTAAGCTCGTCCGCTCTACCATCTTATCTCCATGACCTCGGCATTCGCTAAATCGATATCCTTATGACCGAATATAGGAGAGATCACTATGTCCGAACAGAAAACTACAACTGATAAAATAATGTGGATTTGGCTGGATACTTTAGGTATGAAGGGGTGTGGTAAGGGTGAATGCTTGCAACGGATGTGAGGCGAGACATTGAGGTGTTATGTGATTGGGTATGTCCACTTCGCTTACCCAACATGACTTGAAAGTCTACTCTGAAGAGGTTCCCTTTCAGAAAACAAGGGGAGCATATAAACAACGACAATCCAACAATTCCAAAGTCGAAATGTCTGTTTATCCCCTAGAACAGAACGAATCAACAGTGCCCTCAAGGCCACCAGCGAAGCCAATGCCATGCTGAGGATAAACCAAAGGGATGAAACTTCCCAGAACATTGGACACCATATTCCCCAACCGAGCATGGGTATGGCAATGGTCCACCGCGCCGCAGTATCACCCCATACTAGAGGCACAGTTCGCCGACCGCGTTTAGCATCCCCGGCTTGATCGGACATGTCCTGCAATTGGACTGTGGAGAAAATAATTCCGATGACGACAAGGAGCCACCGACCCGACCAGCCAAGCGGGTGGAGAGGGAGAAAAGAGCCGCCCAAGGCCACTTCCATCGCTCCCGATGCGAAACAGGTAAATCCTAGTCCGTTGATAACATTCCGAATGACTGGGTTCTTGTCTGCGCCACCCCAGTTATTGTACCACACCCCTAAACATATCAAAACCACACAATGTCGGACTCCCCCGGTGAATGCAAGGCTATATATCGGGGCAAATATATACAAACTGATCATAACTCGCGTGCCCCACTCGTGAGAAACCCGACCGCGGGGAAAGGGGCGCCATGGCTTGTTGAGACTGTCCTCGGCAATGGCTCTTTGACCCCGTTGGTTGTTGATAGCGAATGGAATTAAGTTGACCAGAATCCATGATAATGCCGCGACAGCTCTTCCAATAGACTTCGGAGAGTCGCTGATATTCTGCGGAGGAGGCAGAGCCCCTGCAACATGTGGGTCGTATTTCGACGCGGCCCAAGCGTTTGTGATTCCGAAAATAGTGCTTGGTATCACAATGGCTTTAAAATCGCTGAAGAGGAATAGCCAGAGGGTATATGAGTGGTACCACAGCGAAGTCAATGCTCCTTGGACAATCATGCACACCGACCCATGACGGATGAGTGTTGATGTTTCAGTCAACGTTGATGGTATATGTTATACCTCTGGCGTGAGTCGGGCTTTTATATCTGATCAGGTGGAATCCAAGGCTTGAGGCCGCAATTTGGGAATCGAGGGAACTACAAACCGTCAAATAAGAGACGAAAACGAGGAATCGAGCACCGTGGCCTTTTGAATGTCTCATACAAGGCACAGAGTTTATTCTAAATAGAATATATTGACACATTAGGGTACCTAGATAGATATTCAACGAGGCTGGGTTCTGGGCATACTCTCCGATGGCCGAGAATAACGAGTGCTGTCCAACATTGTGTTTTGGTTCTCTTTCACCGTGACTTTTATGATGAAAGAGCCCTGATTGAAGCTACTATAGGACTCGTCCCACTTTGAGGCTCGAAATAGCCATTGCTACAGTTCCAAAATATTCTGTTCGATCGATCATGATCATGCTAGCTTCAGGGGCAGTTGCAATTATTGCGGGGCTACTGGCCCACCAACTTGTCTTTATTCACGGAGAATGGCATCTAAAGGGGCCTAGGGTCGTTGTTCTTCATCTTCTTGCCGGTATTCTATTATATGCAACCCATTTTTTTGGTCATGGAAGCACTGGGGCCAGCTTGGTTCGGACAATATATTTGGCGATATGCTATATCTCATCCCTATTCACAAGCATTGCAGTATACCGACTCATGTTTCATCGATTGAAACACTTTCCAGGTCCAAGATTAGTCGCATTGACCAAATTATGGCATGTTTGGCAATGCCGTGACTCGCGTGGGCATCTCGTCTTGCAGGCTTGGTACGAAAAGTATGGGGAGTTTGTGCGTACCGGTAAGATATATCGCAACCGAAGTAGGACTTCTCGATAACGTCGAAATTAAATCTTCAGGTCCCGCCGAAATTACCATATTCCATCCAGAAGTCTACGAGGCCATGGATGGCCCTGAAAATCGCAACACGCGCTCTGATTGGTACGACCTTTTATATCCCCGGATATCCTCGATCTTTACTCGCGACCGACAGCTTCATCAGGAGCGTCGAAAAATGTGGGAGCAAGCACTGAGCAGAAAAGGTCTGGTGAACTCAATGGCCCACAGGAAGCCGAAGACTGACACAATCATTCAGCATTGCTCCAGTACCATCGGCGGGTGGTAGAAAAGGTACGCACACTGGAAAGTCTAGTTGCTTTGGAAGAATCATGCCCTGTTCTCATCAACGATCTGATGTATTTCTTCGCTTTTGACTCAATGGGTGATTTCGCCTTTAGCGAAGATTTTGGTATGATGAGGAACAAGAGGTGGCATTCATCGGTAGCGATGCTGCGCTCGGCGCTCACAATGTTGGGTCCATTCAGTCCTGCGATATGGATCCCGAGATTGGGATTCGCGTTTATTCCTTCGCTGTGGAAGGTCCGGCACTGGTTCCATATGCTCGAATTTTGTGATCAGTGCATGGCTCGACGGATGGAGGTACTGAAAACCATACGGGAAATCTCACATCTGATTAACATAGAGCTAGAAAACACTCTCCGATCACGATATTGCATCTTGGTTCATTGAGGACCATGTCAAACACGGATCCGATCCCACGCGGGCGCGTTGGTTGAGTGGTGATACTGCAACACTAGTTGTAGCTGGAAGGTCAGTATGGTTAGGTTATCATGAGGCAATGGACTGATAACTATAGCGATACCACCGCCCCAAGCCTAACACTCGTCTTCTATTTCCTCGCTCGCTATCCCATGCATGCTGAGAAGATATACGAAGAGATTCACGGAATTGATAGGGAGAACCCAGCTGCATTGGCCACGTTGCCACATTTGACGGGAACCATAAACGAAGCCATGCGATTGCTTCCAGCAGTACTAACCTTCAGCTCTCGAGTAACTCCACCAGAAGGACTGATGATATATGGCACCTTTATCCCAGGAAATACCAAAATATGCGCACCACGCTATACAATCGGTCGACGTGAGAAAAACCTTATCATCTCTTCAATCAGAAATACTAAACTGAGCCTCAAGTTGAGACAGCATATGTCAACCCCCATGAGTTTATTCCCGAGAGGTGGTACAGCCAACCGGAGCTTATCAAGGATAAAAGGGCATTTGCTCCTTTTGGCGTCGGTAAGCTACAACCCCATTAACCGGTGTGGTCAGGTCTCCCATGTGGCCAGTTGCGTTGCATGGGAATAACAAGAGGCTGGTATTCTGAGTCTTCTTTTCGACAGGGCGCACGAGCTGTGTTGGTCGTCATTTAGCTCTTGCACAGATCCGACTTGTAACTGCGGCTTTAGTGTTTCATTATCGAATCAAATTTGCACCTGGCGAGAATAATGGCGAGGCTGTGGAACGGGATATGAAGGATCAATTGACCGCGCAGCCTGGTGCTTGTCGGCTTGTATTTCAAAGTCGGGTATAGGCAAGGTGAGGCGAGAGCGAGAGGGGTGGAGGTAATATGCTAAATCATGGCTCTTCATTGATCTGGTTCGACTTCTTTGTAATGTTACGTGAGAAGTGTTAAACTAGATATAACATGTACAAAATGCCTGTTTTTCCTTTCTACTCCGGCCGAAATCCCCAGGCAACGTGGATGTCAAATGTGACATAACAACCAGATTGAATATCCGCATAAGCCCTCTCCTCCAGCTCATCAATCTGCCACATGTGCAGCGCACCTGGCGACCCTCTAGCAGAATGAAGGCGCGACCACGCGAACATAGCCCTCATCCCATTTGCAGTCAAACGGGCGCGTGTATCATACACGCGATCTGCAGAAACTGCCTCAGTATGGACCTCTACTAGACCAGCATTGCGCATCTCGGTAGCCAGTCGATTCCAGCCATGCTCGAAGCGGGGTCTCATGGCAGTCATGAACATAATTCCCATTGCACTCGCAGCGTCAGTCGTAGAAGTAGCGCTTCCGGGGAAGTGGCGAACGTTAGTAAAGTCGCACTCTTCCCACTGCATAGCACCGCCAGGCTTTAGAAGCTTAGCAAGATTGCGAACAGTTCTCCCCCATTCAGACGCTGTCAAACCGGCGGCAATCAGTCGAATGTGCACGATATCATACTGTCCGTAGAGGTTGACGGGAACATCCTTGCGCGCGTCGAGAACGTGAAGAGTCACGTTATTAGGGAGGGTTCTGGCGGGTGGATAGAGCGATGTTGATATGTCAAAGCCGTGTAAGATTGCGTCGGGCCAGTCATGGGCGAGGTCGCGCAGGAAGGCTGCAGTGCCGGTGGCGATGTCAGCCACTCGCGCATGGGGGTGCATTTTGTCTCGAACGGACGGGTGCAGCAGGTAGCCGATGTTTCTGTTTCAGCAGGAGTCAGTAAGGTTTGATTTTGGGCTGATTTGCAACATAGGACTTGGCGGATTTGCTTACTCGGTGAGGAGGGCGAACTGCTCATCGAGTCTACCCAGTCGATGTTAGTATTAAATGTTTTCATTGGTGCTGGTGAGCTCTTACCGTTGCGCTTCGGTGGAATCTCGCTGCATATTCTCCGCGTATGGATCCATGAAAAGAGACATTTTGGACAGCGTACTTTGGATCAAACGGAAGGTCGGTGTCTCGGAATCAAATAAAGGGAGGATGCAGGAGGCTGCAGCGGACTGATGGGAAGAGTGAGATTTCGATGTGACCAGGTTACTCTAATCTTTGCCTCAGAACGACTGAAATTTGGTCTTTTACTGCAGTCGCCAGGGTCGCACCTGCTTTCACAGCTGAACCTCTGCTGATCCGCGCATTGCAGGAAGTTGAGGTCAAGGTTCTCACGTTGTACGAAATGAACTCTGCGGCATTCATGGACGTTTTCCATATCTGACATCTCTGTATATGCTGTCCTCTAAATTGAACCCTAACAGATTAGTTGAAATGATGGTGTCTCTTGAGTTTAGAAAATGATTCCTCTCGACACTTCTGCTAACAGCCCATACCGCCGAACAACTTTGCTTTATATTGTCAGACATTGTCATTAATAATAATTCTTTCAAACATGATCCACTTGAATCATCGCTCTCCGGTTCTGATTGTTTGGAGTGTGATATTTTTCTTCATTGCTGCAGTAGCTGTTGTACTTCGACTTGCCTCCACACATATTCGACGTCGGGGGTTGAAGATTCATGATTACCTTATTTTCTTCTCACTGGTAGGTTTGACTGGGGGTTAGGCTATTCAGCTGGCTGAGGATAATGCTAGGGGCTACTGACCGGCTATGTGGTGGATATGTTGATTGGTAAGTTGATCCGATCGACTCGCTATGCAGCAAAAAGAGCTAAGATCTTATATCAGGAGCTACTGCGGCTGGCTATGGCGGGCATACGGCTACTATGGCTGTACGCAACCCGGGAGAGTTGGTTAGCGCATTGAAGGTACCTCGTCTCCTTGAACGTTTATATGAGGTATTGACCTGGTTAGATTTTCTGGGCATCAGAATGGATGTGGGCAACCTCGACAGTCTGTTTTAGGCTTGCCATACTCCTTTTATATATGGAGATCTTCCCGGGCAATCAGAAGTTCTTCTGGTGTGCAACTGGGGTGGGTTGTCTTGTCTTCCTATACTGGGTATCATCGGTATTGACCATCGCGTTGCTCTGTCGCCCGGTCGCCTACAACTGGGATCGCACCATCCCAGGGAGCTGTGGGGATATTTTGAAGATACAGTATGCATCTGCAGGGTTCAATATGGGAATTGATTTGGGAGTTGTGTTGCTGCCGCTCCCTATTGTTTGGCGGCTGCAAATGTCGAGTCGCAAAAAGACTGGTGTCACTGCATCTTTCGCGATAGGCATCCTGTAAGCCCCCCCCCACAAGCTCAGTCTCATTCTGTTTCAGTTGCTGACCGCTAGTAGAACGGCCGGTATCAATCTGGGCCGCATTATTCAGACCAAGTTGTGTCCAGCTGACGACCTAATCTACTGCCTCAGAGACTCCTCTATTTTTATCATGGCAGAAATGACGGCAGGAATCTTGGTGGCTTGTGTTCCAACATTTGGGCCCTTATTGTTTCGCAGGCGAAACACACAGCCAGCGCAACCACGCGATTTGCCCACAATTGGGTCAATTAGAATCCGCCGTCGGCCTGCGAAATTCGATTCTCTCCTTTCTACTCTCGATCGCAGTCACTATGACGAAGAACGAGACCATACAAAGGAATTGGAGTATGTGGGTGCGCCCACAGCACATGCCGGGACTGGGACTGAGAATGAAGCTCCAGAGACTGGCATTTTAGTAACACACGACCTCGATGTGCATAGTCTGAATGTTCTGCCTCGAGTATCTGAGACTTCGACTGTTTGAGGAGCAGCGATTGTCTCAGAGTGGATGTTCAAGATGCAAGTTCCCTTTTCCTAAGAGATCTGCAGACCTGCCAACGAGGATATGCTCCGTAATGCATGTCAGATTTGTACCACCCTTAGATGAGTCCGAGCCGTTTGTACTGGCCAATTTGTGAGAGTAGAAAAAATACATAATTGATAAAGATAAACCAATTGGATCAAGCTTTCCCTCAACTGGGAGAGTATAGTCGTGATTTTTTTCTTTTCCATCAGGCACCAACACCTGGGCACGATATAAGACTGTGAGACCACGTGCGGGGAAAACTCCTTGACTTTCCTTTGCCCCAACTCTCTCTCTTTCACAACTCACCATGCCTTGCAAGTCCTTTGTGGTTGTGCTCTGCCATGGCTCTTACCATACTCCTGCCCCGTACCAAGCTCTTGTTGATGCCTTAACTGCGAAGGGCATCGAGGCTCATTGTCCCCAACGGCCCACTTGTGATCTCAGTCAGCTCAATATTGGCAACCCTAGCAACCCTGATTTTGATCGCAGGGCTCCCCCAGGAGGCTATCCACTCCCCGCAGATGATGCGACAGAGATCGGGCTGCTGCTAGACAAGTTGATTGCACAGGGAAAGTCGGTGCTACTTGCAGGACACTCTTCCGGTGGCTGGGTTGCTGCTGAGGCTGCACAGTCTCATCGCCAAGCTCCTGTCCGCCTAAGGGAAGGAAAGACTGGTGGTGTCATTGGAATCTTCTTTATCGGGGCATTTATTGTTCCGCAAGGCCAATCAGTGCACTCATTCTTTCAGCCCCCGGACGGTAAAGTTGTTGTGCCTCCGTTTATGCAATTTCATGTCGGTTGACCAGTGAATGAATCTTTGTTTGTAAGTACTGACCGTTAATATAGAAACACGGTGTCAATGGTCTTGGCACCATGGTCGACCCTGAAGAATACCTCTTCAACGACCTCGATAGTGCCACTGCAAAGAAGTGGGCATCCACGTTGACAGCAGCTCCTGTTATGAACAGTCCCCTTACCCACAATCCTTATGACGTGCTCCCATGCGCCTATGTTGTGTTAGAAAAGGACCGTACATTACCAAAGGAGTACCAAGAAGGAATGGCGGCGAGTCAGAGCAAGCCTTTCACGATCTACCATGCACCCTGTGGTCACTCACCACACATTAGTTGGACAAATGAGCTCGCTGCGAAGATGGAGGAATTTGGAAACCAGGTTCTAGCTGAAAGAAGCACGACAGATTAAGTGAATTTCAGAAATAAATCTTTCTTGAAAATATAAGCAACAAAGAGAACAGAGCACAGAAAAAAGTGGAAACGAAGATAAAGAGCGTGATGAATTACAAAAGAGGAAAAAGAGGAAACATATGAGTTACACTCGAATCCCAAGGTTTGACGAATAGGAAGGTCAAGATATTTGTGCAACGCGCGCGTCTTCGCTTTCTAATGCCTTTCCACTTTCTCGTTTCTTCCTCTCTCCGACGTTGTCAACTACTTCCCCATCTCTCCATCCATCCAGCCATGGATACCCCTCGCTATGTGTTCGGCGCCCAAGGATTCGGTGTCGCCTGGACAGTTGACAATGTTGACCACTTGATGAAAAGCCTCGCGGAGGCTGGAATCCATCAATTCGACACCGCCGCCTTGTATCCCGCTACCAATCCTGGTGAATCTGAGGAGCTACTGGGTAAAAAGAAGCCAGAGAATGCAGTCATCGACACAAAGGTTCTCTTCATGGGCGATGACTCTTTGTCCTTCAAGAACATGGGAGCCTCGATCGAAGCCAGTTTGGAGCGATTGCAGATCAAGCAGGTGGGTAAAAGGCGCCCACTTACTATGTGTGCAATGCTAATACGGCTATTACTAGATTCACACCATCTACGCTCATGCCCCAGACCGCAAGACCCCGATCCCGCTTCAGGCTGCTTACTTCGACCATTACTATCGTAAGGGCTACTTTCAGAGATTGGGTCTTTCCAACTACAGTCCGTCCGCAATCCGTGCCTGGATGGAAATCGCGGTAGAGGAAAACTTCATTATGCCTTCCGTCTATCAAGGCCAGTACAACGTGTTCTGCCGAGGCTACGAGGATGAACTTTTTTCCGTACTTCGCGAGTTCGGCATTGCCTTCGAGGCAACCTCGCCGTTGGCAGGTGGATTCCTCACCGGGAAGCTTTCCTATTGCCCTTCACCCGAAGAGTTAGAGGGTACCCGTTTCGAGGTAGGTGAGGGCAACATGCTCGGTGCAGTCTACCGTATGTGGTATGACCAGCCCGTCTATCACCAAGCGATGCGACGATTGGACAAGATTGGTAAAAGGCTAGGAACCACCGGGGCCCAATGCGCCCTGCGTTGGTTGCTTTTCCACTCCAACCTGAAGGATCCCGACCGAATTGTCATCGGACCAAGCACCTTGAACCAGCTTCAAGACTATGTGGACGCCCAGAAGGCCGGACCACTTCCAGCTGACGCAGCGGCCGAGATCAATGCGCTTTGGCCGGCCCTCAAGGAAGTTGCGGCGACGATCATCGAGAAGGGATGGTGGTCTCTGTGATTGATATGTTGAACTTGAGGGGGATAACGACCAAATTTCCAATGGATCACAAGGTATTCATACGCCGCCAGGCTGGTCTACAAGCATCCCATCCAGTTAAGCCTTATGCTCACAGATACACACAAACTACATGCAATGGTATCTCCTAGTTTTTCACACGTATTGCTCCTGTGATATCATTCCCTCTGATAATTTAAGACCTACACAATCGCCCATTCTCACCCAATCTCCAAGCTTCACTACCCACAGCCTTATAAGCGTAGAACCTATTGTGAGGATCATACTTTCTCTTAATCTCTAGTAAACTGTCATAGTTGTCTCCATAAAATGCATGTTGCCAATCCCTTTGGTTTGGATCTGCTTCGTTCAAATATGCACCACTTCCAGGTGTCAAGTCTTCTAGTGGTGGCATAAGAATATCGGTAATGAGCTGGTGGCGAGCGACATTGCTATCCCAGTCAGTATAGTCGAACATCCTGGATGAAGATTAATAAAGACTTATTCTAACCCTTGAAGGGAATGGAAATGAAATACATACGCTCCAATTACGACATTCATCAACGCGTCTCGCCAGGCTGGGTTGACACTGTTGTCGGGATATGCAACTCGAGATGAGTTGACCATAACCCCTGAAATGAGAAACCCGGCGTTTCTTTCGACAATATTACGGAATGTGTTG